CCCCAAAACCCCAAAACCCCAAAACCCCAAAACCCCAAAACCCCAAAACCCCTTTTATTCAACTTTATATTGTTTTCTAAATTGTTATAAATGAACGGAGGAGAAGTAACTTCCAAAGAAACAGATATGCCTCAAAAACCTGAGAAGAAAGGTACTTAACATAAAATTTTGATTATATTCCATCTCCAATCAGCCAATTCACTGTATTTTTATTCCCAATTTTTATTTTTCGAATCTTTTTCAAGAGCGGTTTTAATAACTTTATTTATATAGCTCAAAGGAAAATAAAAGGATCGAGAAACTCAGTTGCAAATGGTCAGTTCAAGAGCAGAGATAGATCACCGTAAGTGTCTTCTTTACCTATTTAGGTATATCATCAGCAATCAGCAATCAATAAAGTCTTTAAAGAATAGTTCGAGCCCCTCTAGAAAACATCTTAGCATTATTGCAAATAAAAGTAAACTGAACTACCTAAATGAAACTGGCCCAGGAGACTATAACGCAGCTGAGCTAACAGGGAAATTGCTGACCAATTCTAACCAGAAAAACTCACCGAAGTTTTCATTTGGAACCAAGCTGTTGAAGACTGGAATTATCACTAAATAAACACATACAGGAATCTTTAGGAGTTGATTCTCCAGGAGTTGGGTTGTATGACACTATGAGTAGTAAGAGATCATCTCAGGAATATACCATGGGCAGAGACAAAAGGTTTCAGGAAGCATCGAATATAGTTAACCTCAAAAGACATGTGTAAGTTCCATTCTGATCCCATAGTCCTCATTCTTACTTAAAAACAACTGCGAATCTATCTTTGACAGACTGGAAGGGCTCGAAGCTTTCAAAAGGAAAAAGATTTACTAAGGATAATCCCTTTTATAAGGAAACTATTGGCCCTGGCCCTCAGTATAACTTGCAAGATAAGCCATCGATGATAAACTCAAGCAGCAGGCTGTCTCTTGAGACGGAAGCACATGATAGCAGACTTTTTGGAGCTCCATACAGTAAGTATAAGAACGTATACTTCCATGAATTGGGCAGGGACTTCTGTAACAGAGAAGGCCCTGGTCCTGCACAGTACGATTCCAATAAGGCTGCAAAAGGGCAGAAATACTCTTTCCCCAAGAACTCAAGGAAATTATCGACTATTAAAAAGAAGGATAAGACTCCAAGCCCAACTTCTTATAGATATGAGAAGCAGAGCAAGTTGCTGAAAAACATAGGGACTGTTTTTAGCAAGGGATCTCGCGAAGTTGACTTTAGCAAATGTAATACAATAGCTCTCTTTTCGATCAATGGTTAAAGAGAATATTAGCTTAAGGAGACATCAAAATACTCAGATTTTTCTAATACTGATCCAATTTAGGCGGGTTTGACGAAATTTATTCTTCATACTATCTTATTGACCTAACATATATAGATGCTTCACAGAACAGCGTGATGATCGAGAAAGGAATATACTAGGTACGATATTAAGAAGTTGCATAAGAAAGTTTCAGAAAATAATATTTATTCCTTGAAAATATTCAATAAAAATGCACAAACTCGGGGTTTTGGGGTTTTGGGGTTTTGGGGTTTTGGGG